AGTAAAAAAAAGTTTCCTTTTTCCAAACACTTACCAGAGAGTAATGGAGCAGCCCAGGGATAAAGGGAACAAAGCCCTCAAGTGGTGCAGCAGCCAGAGAAGATGGTCTAGGAGGTGGTGGTGGAGTCACTGTGCAGATCAAACACTAAACTTGAGTCTGCTAATAAGGCATGGGGATAAATAAATAATATTTGTTCAAGGAAATCAGATGTGAAAACATAGATATGACTGTCAGAGCTCTGGGAAAACCAGCTGAGACAAGTGGGCTCTGTGACTGCTCAATATGGCAGAAAATCACCTGGGAGACCATTGAGATTGGTGCAGGAAGAGACTGGAGTCTTCTACAAGTCAGTAAAGCCTTTCTGACAAAGGTGCAAAACTGTGGGAAACAAGAAACGGGGAAATTAAAATGAAAAATGGAACCAGGAAACATGGGGAAATTAGTTCAGTCCATTTTCCTGTTTGGGGAATAAAATTAAGTTGAGCTTTGAACCAAAGAACAAGCTGTCCTAGCAGAAGTGGAACCAAGTCTGTTTTCCTATGGAACTGAGCCCCTGTCTTCTCCCAGACCTCTGACCCCTTCCCACCTGGGAGAGTTTTGCCTTTCCTTTGAATTTTGAGGGGTTCACAAGGCACTGGGGGTTTCCTGGTGGATGTGCAGTGTGTGAATCTGGATCCCTTGGATTGCCAGGGAGGACACAAGGAACCAGCAGAGAGCCTCCCCACGTGCTTTGGGTGACCAGCCACATCCAAGCATGTCCTTGATGGCTGGATGTACCTTGAAAATGTGCTTTTGCAGGATGGGCCAGAGAGAACCCCATGTCTGACATGTTTTGGCTTCTTTTTTCTACCTCTGTCAAGGTCAGGATTGAAGCTCTTATTTCATGTTCAGGCTCAGGTGTTTATTATTTCTTATCTATAGTACAAGTCATGAGTTCTACAGCATTCTACTAACAAGCTACAAAATGGTTAACTGTCCTTTTATACAAGGTCTTTTAAGGCTAAACTGTCCAATTTAGAAATGACACCTAAATTATTTTCACTTTTAACCCAATAACTAATTGCTCGAATTCTGCAGTGTGGACTTTTCTGTCCAATTACAAAATAACACCAAAACCCGTGGAGAAGGAAGAAGAAAGTGAAGAAGATCAACCAGCCATTGCCCTAAAACATCCATCTTGTCCCATATATATTGCTATATTCTAAAACCTTTAAACATTTTTCCACTCTGTGCTATTACGCACTTCTAATCAAAGTACACACCTGTAATCTTAGTGCTATCAATCAATTTTGGAAGCCTTCTTCATAGCCTCAGGTCAGATATAGTATTTTCTTGTGCCCTTCAGCACAGAAAGTTTAAAATCCTCAGCATCCAGGATTCCAACGCATCTCCAGGGACAACAGGATGCTCCCAGGACCGGATGTGCTTTTACCCCACTTTATTCCCCTCTGCCCCATGTCCAGTGCAGCCACGTTGCTGTAACTGGGATATGGGAGCTTGGTCTTGCCCCCCTCAACAAGCAAGTCATAAAAAGCAGCTAATTCAAGCAACTAAAGAACAAATGAAAGCAGCATAACCTCCTTTCTCGTGCTTCGCGGGCGGCCATACATCACCAGTGGAAATTCTGCCAAACTTCTTGTTTAAATATAGGAGCTGGGCTTCTTTGTGTTGTTGGTGGTCCCCACGAGGACCTGCTCTCCTTGCATGGGGATATTGTTTAGAATGAAGCCTGGGCTGGCTACTTTGCCATTAAAATTCCGTGCCAGCCCAGCAGTGCTGACAATATTGAGGCTTTGCTAAATATGTGTACGTGTAAGTTCATTAAATGGGTGCTGACTGTTGTTACACGAGTACAGCAGTTGAGTGCTTTCTGTATTAACCTTATCACCTGATGGGCAAAAGAAAAGGTTTAGCTAAAGCTTAGGACTAATTGAACGGTATTTCAGTATTTTCTTATGTAAAACTGGTTCTGGTCTATTGTTTTTATTTATTTGCAATAACTGTGCTCATTCAAGTTTGTAATGACACTGCCATGGGTGAATAGAATTTGCTTTAAGTATTATTCTCCCTTTTCCTATCTCCTGCCTCCTCTAAACTGTGTCTCTCAGGAGAAAATCTGCAACAGAGCCTGGTAAAAAGACAACTCTCTAAGTACACAGTCATTTTGGGGAGATACGTTCCCAAGCTGTGTTTTTAAAATTACTTTTAGCAGTTCCTGTTTATTTTCTCAGCCTGCCTTGGGTATTTCCTGTCGGGCTGAGCACCGAGCGTGGAGCTGGAGGAGATAGGAGAGAAAAAGCCTCTTGAAGAAAGGTGGGAGGTGTCTTATCATCAAGACACTGCACAAACCAGAGTACTTTCTTTGCTCGGTTGCCACTAGAGTATGCTCTAGTGCTACAAGTTCCAAGGATTTTTTAGAAATAAATCACTCTGTGTAGCACGAGGCCCGTCTTTCAAATGCTTTCCACTTGCCCCAGTGGTTTGGGATTTTTCTAAGTAATACTTTTGTTTTTTGTTTTTAATTGCTGTTGAGCACATACTCAAAGCTTTGAGAAAGCCTAGGTCCCTCTGTGGAGATGTGAGTCTAACTTGGATTTGGACAACTCCCAGCTTCTAGAGTGTGGGTGAAAATGGCCAAAAAATATCTTACCTGTTTTTAAAAAAAAACAACAAAAAAGGTGGTTTGCATGTCCTTCCTGTCTTGATCAAACCCCTGGGTCATGGCTGATGAAGAAAGGGGAGGCAAATCTCACAAATTAATAGATTTCTGCTTACAGAAGAAACATGTAAATTCCCCTTTTCAACATAAAGTGTGCCTGTAATCCCAGCCTTTGAAATGGTGGTAGTTATTCAGTAAGAGAAAGGCTGCTGTGAGCCTGCCCTACCACATTACAGCAAAGTACTTTGTCACTGGCACCCTAAAAGTTCCAGCTTCTGCATGACAAAGATACAAAACAACTTGCAGGACAATTAAAGAACAGTTTGTCCTCACCCTGTTATTACCAGCCATTCTTCCATGTTTCGATATTTGCCCGTAAATTGCTACCTCCCCCATCAATATAATTGTAATCAGCCACGGTTCACATTTGTCTTTGGATGCCTTTTCCAAGGGAAACACAAAGAAGGAAAAATACGGCAAAGAAAAAAGCCACGCTCCAGATAAAGAGCCTCGCCACCAGCCTGCTTTCACACACAGGCTGCGCACTTTGCTGCTAAAATTACATTTTAGGAGCCCCAACGGGCGCGGGAACAATGACCCCGCTCATTTCCATAGTGACAATGGCTGGCGGAGGATTGGAACGTGTCTTTTTGCTCTCCCCGAAGGTGCTCAGCCAGCACGGGCAGAAACCTGCCAAGGGCTTGGGTCTGTGGAAGCTCTTGGTCACCACAGAGCCACGAGGTTCCCTTTGGGGTGGGAGGCAGCTGCTGGGCCCAGGTGGGCTTCACAGCCTCACACACCAGCTCCTCCAAGCAGCCCAGTGGCTTCTGAGTGGGTCAAAACTTCAGCTTTTCTCTCCAGCCCGGCTGAGTGCACAGAGCAACCCTGAATTCATCAGATCGCACATGACTTGGGTTGGAAGGGACCTCAAACCCATCTCAGTCCACCCCCTGCCATAGCAGGGACACTTTCCACTACTATCCCAGGTTGCTCCAGGTCCCATCCAACGTGGCCTGGGACACTTCCAGGGATCCAGGGGCAGCCACAGCTTCTCTGGGCACCCTGTGCCAGGGCTTCACCACCCTCACGGGGAAGGATGTCTTCCCCATATCCCATCTAAACCCATTCTCTTCTAGTTTGAAGCCATTCCCTCTTGTCCTATCACTCCGTGCTGCTGTAAGAAATCCCTCTCAGCTCCCCTGGAGCCCCTTCAGGTGCTGGAATGCCACGGTGAGGTCACCCCAAAGCTTTTCCTCTCCAGGCTGAGCACCCCCAGCTCTCCCAGCCTTTCCTCCCAGCGGAGGGGCTCCATCCCTCAGACCATCTCGGTGGCCTCCTCTGGACCCGCTCCAACAGGTCCATGTCCCTCCTGGGCTGGGGACCCCGGAATTCCCTCCATGCTTTCCTTGGTTTCATCTTCCGGGGGTTTTGTGCCGCTGTTTTGGCCGGGCCCTTTGCAGGAGCTTCTCCAGCCCCCAGAGCACCACGCATCTTCCCTCGGTTGTGTCAGCCCTTAATCCTGCTCTTTTCTCCTTAATAAATGCAAACCTCATTTTCTAACGTCCCCACTTAGATCTAATCCATAAGGCTGTTTATTATCCTCGTTACCCTCTTCTATACCTTTTTCATTTGTATTCAAAAGCCTCTCTTTAATCTGTCTCAATTCTGCAGGTATGGCCCCGCCGCTCTTTCGTACAATCCCATAATGATTTCCACGGATGTGTTTTAGTCCTCTATCGATAGGTCTCGGGATGCTATTTGCCTTCCTTAACTGCTTCCCTCAGCGGGAATCGCCGCTTTTAATAATCCGTGCACTGACACCTTCCATCTTTTCCTTCACCAGCATCTCGTGCCGCCCCATCCAGGGGTTAAATCTTTATTATCTGTCTATGGGCACACTGGGGCCGTGCTGGAGGGGCTGCAGCCTGCACCCAGCACTGTCCGGGATGGTTTTGATGTGTCTGAGAAGGAGCCGATCCTTAAAAATCCCATCCCGAAGGGAGATCCCGGGAGCAAGGGAAAGGCAGGATGGTCCCTCCCGCCCCCCGCATCTCCGCGGTGGTTTCGCCTCATGCTCCCCCCCGCGCGCGCGTTGGTCCCGCCCGGCCGCCCCGCCGCACTCCCCCTCCGGCTGTACCAACTCGTCTCCGCGGGGGAGGATGGAAGAGGGCGGGAGGCCGCGCTGGATGGCCTCACCGTGTTGGCGGCTCTCTCTGTTCTCTATCTGAGAGTTTTATTGAGAGAAACCCCGGGAGGCGCTTTGGGGAGAGCGAGAAGGCGAGCGCGACAGGGGTGCTCCCCCCGCGGGGCGGTGGGTGGCACAGCCCGCCCGCCCCGCGCGGCCGAAGCCGGAAGGTGGCGGCGCACATGGGAGCGGGGCCCGGGCCCGGGGCCGGCACCGGGATCGGGATCGGGATCGGGATCGGGAACGGGGCGGGAGGAGCCGCCGGGGCGCTGGGCGCTGCCGTGGCTGCCCTCTACACGGCCACGCTGCCGCCCGCCCTGCCCGGCGGGGATGCGGGTAACGTACCGGGTCACGGCTGGTGCATGGCGGGGGCGTGAGGGGGACGAGCCCTGAGGGACCGGTGCGTCCCCGTCACCCCACGGGAGCTCGTGCATCAGTGACACCCACGTAGGGTTGGTCCCTGCAGAGGAGCCGGTGCGTTGATGTCACCCCTGGAGGATCGGTGTCACCCCGCTGGGTTGTCATCACAGCGAGCTGCTCATTCCAAGGGGCTGGTGCATTGTTGTCACCCCATGGGCTTGCTGTCACCCCATGGGGATGCTCATCCTATAGGGGCTGGTACTTCACTGTCACCCCATGGGGATGCTCATCCTATAGGGGCTGGTACTTCACTGTCACCCCATAAGGATGCTCATCCTATAGAGGCTGATACTTCACTGTCACCCTATAAGGGTGCTCATCCTATAGGGGCTGGTACTTCACTGTCACCCTATAAGGGTGCTCATCCTATAGGGGCTGGTACTTCACTGTCACCCCATAAGGGTGCTCATCCTATAGGGGCTGATATTTCATTGTCACCCCATAAGGATGCTCATCCTATAGGAATGGGTGCATTGCTGTCACCCCACAGGGTGACTGGTGCATGGCTCTCACCCCATAGGGCTGTTCTCTCCAGAGGGGCTGGTTCACTGCTGTCACCCCTTTAGGCTGGCTGTCATCCCATAGAAATGCTCATCCTATAGGGGCTGGTATTCCCTTGTCACATCATATAGTTGCTGTTATCCTATAGGGACTGGAGCATTAGTGTCACTCATGGGGGTTGCTGTCATCCCATAAGGATGCTCATCCTATAGGGGCTGGTATTTCATTGTCACATCATATAGTTGCTCTTATCCTATAGGGACTGGAGCATTGGTGTGGCTCCAGGGGGTTGCTGTCACCCTTATCCTATAGGGGCTGGTATTTCATTGTCACCCCATAAGAATGCTCATCCTATAGGGGCTGGCACTTCACTATCACCCCATGGGGATGCTCATCCTGTAGGTGCTGGTATTTCATTGTCACCCCATATGGTTGCTGTTATCCTGTAGGGACTGGAGCATTAGTGTCACCCCTGGGGGTTGCTGTCACCCCATAAGGATGCTCATCCTATAGGGACAGGTGCATTGCTGTCACCCCATGGGGTTGCTGGTCCCATTAGGTCCCTGTGGCCACTGGTGAGGTACAGCCCCTTTTGGGGTGCTCATCCCATTGGGGTTTGTGCATTTAAAGCTCCCCACAGCGGGGTGCAGCAGGGACACCCTGCATTGGGGTGTGCACCCTCGGAGCCAAAGCAATGGCCCAGTGGGGTCAGCACAGCAAGGTCCCCTCTGGGGTGGTGCCCTCGGGCCACCCCATAATGGTTTGCCTGTGTTTGAGCCTTTCAGAGAAGGATTTAGCCAGGGGACAGCTGGTGGCTTTAGGGGACAGATGTGGCATGATGCCAGCTGTGCTGTCACTGCTTGGACTGTCACTGTCCCGGGCTTGTGCAGCAGGGAAATCTTTGGATCTGCCTGTGTGCAAGTGCAGCTTCCTAGCAGTGTCAAACTGAATTTTTGTGTGGATTTTACTGATTTAACATGTTCTTGCTTTAAAAATACTTCGGTTTTCTGTGTGTGGTTTGGAGATAGGAGGGCTTGTTTTTTCTTGGGAATGTGATAATTTTTATTCCATGGAACAAGTGTCCAGGATACTTCCTTTCTGTGTCATCCCAGAACAGTTCAGTGCTTCTGCTTAATGCTGTGCCTCCTGGTCACCAGCAGTTTCAAATCCAAGCTGTGCATGAAATTCCTTCTAAATAAATGGCATTTTAATGGATTAATGTGTTTTACAGGCTCAGGATGTGTGGGGAGAGAGAGGGGCACTAGCCAGGCTGGCCATGAGCATCCTGATGGCTTTTGTTCTGCTCCCAAATTACTAAAAGTGCTGGGTTTGCTCTTTCTGGGTGTGTTAATTAATATGTGATGAATGATATATTTACAGTTGTTACCATTTTGGTTTTTATGATAATTTTTGCCTTTTTTTTTTATTGTCTGTGGAAAGCACCCTGTGCTCTGAGCTGTTCATGCTGCACGAAGCCTCAGGAATTTGGTTCTTAATTGTGCTTGAGCCTGGATTCTCCTTCTGGGATGCAAATAAGCCTTAGCAGCCTTTGCAGAGAGGGATGCAGGTTCTCCTGAGGGTGTCATGGATGGATGCTGGGATTTGGTTTTTTGTTTGATGTGAATTATCCCAGTAGACAGAGCAAGCAGCCAAACAGCACATGGGTTCACCCCACTTTCCACAGGTTATTGTGGTGTTAGGGGAAATCCCTCAGGACAGTGTCCCCTGACCAGCCCTGTGACCTCGCTCCTTGTCACTCCTTATTTATTTATTTTTTGAATTTTCTTCTAAATTTGCTGCCTGACTTCCTTGTGGTCACTGGGACTGAGCAGAGGTGCTGTCCCCTTGTGCCTGTCCCAGCCAGCATCATGTCCCATCACAGTGTCAGGAGTTTTTTGGGCATTATTCCCCTGGTTTCTCATGGCTTGAGCATGGAATGCCTCAGCTGGAGTCCCTGGAATATCTGTGTATGGCCCTGCTCAAGGTGTTTGATTTGCCTGTGCCTGAAACTTGTGCCACCAAAAGCACTGAGGCTACTTGTGTGAGTAAAGAGCTGCTTAAGGATTTGCTGTATCTGCTTCCAAGCTGGGAGCCTAGTATTTTATTTATTTTATTTTATTTTATTTTATTTTATTTTATTTTATTTTATTTTTTATTTATTATTTTATTTTATTTTATTTTATTTTATTTTATTTTATTTTAGTTATTTTTTAAATTTATTCTTATTTTATTGTATTTTTTAAGCTATCTGTATTTTTAATTGTTCCCAAAATTTGCACTAATCTAAAAATGTCAAAGGCAGTTGGAATTTCCATTTCCTCGTGTTACTTAGTGTTAGAATAAAGAAATTAATGGGAGAATAATAGGGGCAGAAGGAATTATAATTCAGAAACATCCACAGATGTAAAACAGCTTAAAAAGGGATCAAATAAAGTTAAAAAAAAAAACAAAACAAACAAAAAAAAAACAACCAGATGTTCACTGTGATGTTTTGAACATCATCTCCCAAACTTGCTGGGAATAAATCAGAGTTCAGGCAGCACTGGGGCTGTTGCCTGAACACCTTTATGGGGGAGTCAGAAAGTAATTTACATTCGGAATCATGGAATATTCTGAATTAAAAGGGGCCCACAAGGATCACTGCTCCAGTTCCTGGCCCTGTGGAGTTGGAGGGAATAAACATTTCAGTTTGAGCCAGTGCCTGGAGATGCCACAGGTCATTCTGTCTCACAAGACGTTGAAACCAAGTTTGTGGGTGCTGTAATTCTTCCTCTGTGTGTTTTGTTATTTTATATCAGTGCTCCTCACTCCTCCAGCCCATGGGGGCTGTGAGGCATGCTCCAGTGTGTGGGTGGGAGCTGTAGAATTAACCTTATCCAAAGTAGTGGCTCTTATGTCCTTATTTTCATTTTCCCACTGGAATTCAACAGGCCTGCAGCCTGTGAGCTTATCTTTTTATGCTTTTTTTTTTTTTCCCCTTAATTCTTACAAGGCAAAGTTTTGCTGTTGTCTTTCAAAGCTTGGTGGTGGCTTCCACCAGTGTTTTATTTATATAATTTCTGCAGCTTCCTGGTTGATTTGTGGCTATGTTTCTTTGGGGCTATTTCTGCCTTTGATATAAATGTCACAGCAATGTGAATGAAGTTAAATTTTTGCATTTTTAGATGCACATATTGCTGCATCCCAGGAAGGACTTTAGTGGAGGTGAATTCATGCCTGGCTTGGAAGCAGCATCCCTGGGATGTGGTGGGTGATGGGCATCACCAGCTGCTGCACACTGGGCAACCCCCACAGTACCAAATTTAGGGTTTCCTTTATTATCACCATCCTTTGCTGTGTGCAGGAGGATTGATCCCTTCCCAGCCCTGGAAATTTTGGAGCTGCTGACCTCTGAAGGGCTCAGAACTGGGATGGGTGGTTTTCCCACTGCATCCACTTTTTGGGGGCTGTTTTGCAGTAGGGTGAAATTTTCCTAAAATAAGAATAACCAGTGTTTGCAAGTGCAGGAGACTCCATGTCTGAGAGATTTTGGTGCAGGAAGTGGCAGGTTTGGCCCCAGTCACTGCCAGCCCACAGCTCTAATTCTGCAGAAGTTGCCACCAGCAGTAATGGGTTGACTTGAATCTTCATTTTAAAATGCAACATTTACTGCATTTTACTTTAAATCCCGATGTCAGGACTTAAAGGTGCCATTTGTACAATCCCCCCTGCCCCCCTTTGCATGGCATGATGAAGACGTGATTGTACAGAAATTTCAAATATTGTTAATTTAGCATTTAAAGCCACCAGCGCCCTTCATTTGTGTATTTCCCATCTAACAACGCTGCCATGACCTTGGTGCTTGCAAAATTAGCAGGACCAGTAAAACTGGATTATGAAATTTGAGGGAAAGAAGGAAAACCAGCCGCAATTTTTAATTTTGTTTCTCCCTGAATGCATTATGCTCATTGAATATATTCAATGTATGTTGTTCAGGAGAGTTTGCTGCAAAATGTTCCAGTGTCGAGTGCTCTAAAAATGCCAGCTATTCTGCTAATGTGGCAGTTTATTTTTGTGGCAGTTATTTGTCCTGGCATAAAATACAAACAAAATGCAAAATCTCAATGTTGTTTCTATTGGGAGCTGAGTGCAGCATCCACTGACAGGTAAAAGTGAAGCAGAATTAGCTTTAGCATCAAGGGAGAGCAACCTTCCCAAATAAATGGATGCAGATTTCCACAATCAGTGATTATATTTTTCCTCTTTAAAAACTGCAAAACTCTGGTTTTGTTTTGATTTCTATTTTTTTGTTGTTGTTGTTGTTTTTGAGAAACAACTGGGCTGTTGAACAGACAATTCAGCTTACACGTTTCAAACTGTAGTGCTTGAAAGTTATTGAGTCAGATGGTTTTAAATTAAAAATGCACACACACACAAACCTCTGCATTTTGAGTGTCTCGGGCCATTCTTTGCCCGAGCCTACCTATATTTTCACTTATCTATTCATAAAAGTCTCGCGAAAACATACAAAAGATATTTTGTGCAATGACATCAGAGGGAGAAAATATTCTTAGAAAATTTCATGCTGTTAAATCTCCACAGATTTACAGTTTTATCCAGTCAAATTAATGCAAAACCCCAATGCAAGCATTTGGATTTTGAAAACTTTGGAGGAGTGTCATTTCCTAATAGTAATTATTGGTTTTACATTATTTTTTCACAGGGGAGCTGATCACAGCCGCATATGAGCTTGGAGTAAGTATTAGTTTTATTGTTTAATCAATGCTCTCATTAACAGTTTTAGGAATTAAGGAAGTTTAATTAAGCATGGAGTAAAGTAGATTAATTTATTTTCAAACCACAGTTTTTACTAACTTATAAGTACAGCACGCGACAATTTACTTCAAGTTTTAAATCCAATTAAACTAAATTATAAAGCAAAGGCTTTACTGTATATACAGTAGCTGGCTTATTATCAACCCAAATTTTGTATAAGCTGGGGAGAATAAAATAAATCGGGTTAACAATTTTAATAAGTTTTATTATTTAATAAACTTTATTATGGTGCATGATCCCTTTAGGCAAGACCTTAGGACTGTCAGCGCGGTGGTAATCCGATAGCAGTGTGGTCTTTCAACTTGCTAACCAATAAAATAGTTGAGAAGCTGCTTTTTTTCTAAAAAAAAAAAAAAAATTGGGGAAAAAAAAAAAAAACAACAGCCTTTTGAATGACCCTAATATACTGTGAACCCAAACAAGGAGCCCTTTAAGGCACGCTAATGAAACGTGGCACCTCCTTTTCCTTGCTGCCTCATTATTATGGACGAGGCGCGGAGCCAGATCCACTGAGGGAAAAATCTTGCTGGGGTTGGGATGGCTACCAGGGTTTGGGATGGGTATGGGAATTTGGGATGGGCACTGGGAGTTGGGATGGGTATGGGAATTTGGGATGAGCACCGGGAGTTGGGATGGGTGTGGGGATTTGGGGTGGGCACCGAGGGTGGCTCGGGGAGCGGAGCTGCTCGGGGCTGCCCCGCTCCCATTCCCGGCCTCTCCCCCCATTCCAACCCCGTGTCCCTCTGTCCGTAGGTCGCCCACCCTCCCGGCTACCCCCTGTTCACACTGCTGGCCAAAGTGGCCACGGAGCTGCCCGGCGGCTCCCCCGCCTTCCGAGTCAATCTCCTCTGCGGCTTGCTGGGAGCAGCTGCTGCCTCTTTGCTTTTTTGCACGGTTTTCAGGTAAAGTCCTCGGGGGTGCTTTTCCCTTGGCTTCGTGGTGCTTCCCCGGCGGCTCGGGACGTTCCTGAAAGCTCCCTCTGCTCCCTGCTGCCCTTCGGACCAGCGTTCCTCCCCTCTTCCCTAATTAGTTCCTCTGATTAACCTAACAGCAACTTAATCTGAATTTGACCTTCTTTCCCGCACAAAAGCCTCCCCCTCTTTTATTTCCCCCCCCCCCCCTTTTTCTTTTCTGTTAAATAATAATAATAGCAATAATAAAAAGTGCGCCCTTTCCCTTGCCCAGCTGTGACAGGTTGTTCAGGCTCATTATCACAAATCACCGCTCGGTTTAACTAACCAGAACTAATGAAGTTTGTCGTTCTCGAAAGATGCAGATGGTCTGTTTAAATTAACAGGATGAGCTTCACCTATCGGGAAACCGTGAACTTGGTTTAATTGCAGCTCCCGGCGGAGGTGGATGGGCAGTTGCCTGCCCGTGGTACCCAAGGAGCAGGGAGAGCATCCCTGCCTTTCCCTGGAGCAGCTCCGGGCTGTGGGGGGATATCCAGAGCCTCCTCTCTGCACCTCTAACCTTGGGAGGACAGGGAACAATCAGGATGCTCACGTGGTTGCGGGGTTTTCGTTAACCCTGCTCGTCTTTGATGTGCAAGTTCTGGCTGCTCTTAACCTCAGCCTGACCCATATTTGAGAGGATTATGGCAACCCGCATAAACAATTTCTGATGTTCTTTTGCAGGAAAAATAGGGCACGTTTTGAGGCTGCAAATGGTATCGGGGCGCTTCGGGATGAGACGGGGTTTTTCCCGACCCAGATTATTTTGACAAAAGCCCTTTTTCTCCCTTCCGTTTCCAGAGCTACCCCTAAGGGAAACCTTCCCAGGGAAGTGAAAGCAACCTAGAAATAAAAGCAGGAATAAATGGGGAGGTGGTAGGGTGCAGATTCTGCACAGCTTGAGAGCCCTGAGCTCGCTTAAACTTTGTTCCACAGGGTCCATCTCTCTCTGCTGAAGAGGAGCTGCTTTTTTGCACATCACCTCGCACATAGCATCAGCTCCAAAGCACACCTACTGGAATTGCTTGAGTAGTTCCTAAGTATTTCTGTAGGCATTTAAAGTGATTGCTTTCACTGGTGGGTAATACATGTAATTAAGCCGGCGTTATTTAATTTAATATCCTGTATTTCACAGCCGATTTGGGAAGCTGGAAGCGGCGCTGCCCTCCCGTGCACAGCACCCAGTGCAGCATCAGAGCACGGCTCCATTCTGTTAAAAACTCCTGCAAGGAGTTGCTAAAGGTTTTCTATATTTGATTCTGATTTCTTTTTTAATGATGGTTGTTCCCATTATTGAAGATCTTCCCCAGTTTTCAGTTTGAACCGCAGTGTGACAGTTCCTTGGGCGCCCGCTTTGTGCTTTGGAAATGATGCAATCACTCCTTTAGAGAAATAAGGACACAGGAGAGAAATGACAGGCTAAATTTCAGAATTATTTTGGGAATTACTTTAGCACTTCTGAAGGTTTAGGTGTTTTCTTGGTGTTTAATTGGATTTGGAAGATGGCACTTCTGTCAAATTTAGAATTTGCGTGAAGGAACGGAAAATGTGCAAGTGAGAGATGATAAAAACTATTAAGACTTACAGAAATTATTTCATAGATACTGACAGAATCAATTATTCAGCCTTGCAGTGATTGCTTTTTTTTTAATAATTTTAAGGTCAGTTTTATTTCCAAATTAGAATGTTAGAATTTTCCTTTCGAGCACCTTAAAATTGATTTATTTTTTGGGACATTCATTTGGAAAAAAAAAAAAAAAAAGGAAAATTACTGCTTTTTTATTTACTTTTAAAAGAAAAAAAAATTAGAAAGTGTTCACTGGCACTGTCTGCTTGAAGCTGTAGCTGTCTGGGGGTGACGTGGTGTGTTTTAAACTGGGCTTGTCCATCTTTACAAAGGAACTAAACGGGTCTATCAAATCCCCCCGTTATTTTTGTGTTTTAATAAAATTATCTGATGGGGTAGCCCTTACGAGGTACCGGTGGCAAAATCAGCACCTGCTCCTCTTGCCGTGTGAAACGTGGCTGTTAATATGAAAATATGTAGATGTTAGGAGTACAAATAATTGATGAAGTACACATCCTTGGGGAGCAACACGGTTCAAGTGGCAAATCTGCCTGCTCAAACAATAGCCACCCTCCAGCGGGGAGGAAGCCATCTCTATGGAAATGGGGCTGACGCTGCCCTATTGATCGAGTGAAGAAGACATTATACAATGTCAGTTGGGTTGTTACGATTTCATTTGTCGTCTGACCTGAACTTAACCTCTAAAACCTTTCTTCTCTCCCCGCCAGCCGGGCAACGTTGCTGTTTACCCTCGCGTGGGGGTTTTGCCGTGCCTCCCTCCCTCCCTCCCAACATCCCCATACAGTAAATCTCTCCCTTTTATTTTTTTATTTATTTTTATTATTAATTTCCCCATTGATTCTTTTTGTTTGAGTCATTTCCCGCAGTTTATTCCTCGGCAGGTCGGGATGATTTTATTGCTTAAGGAGAAGAGTCGTGGTTCCCTCCGTGGTGTTTGGGATGTTGTGGCACGTGTGGGATTAGGGTGGAATTTATTCCTTGAGCAGATTTCTCCTTTGCCAGGTGATGGCTGGTGGGATGCTCCACGCTGTGGTCGAGAGGAAGCGGCCGCCGCATCACTTCTGTTTGTTAATTTTATTGTGTTATAATATACAATATTACTCATTTAATTACATTTTTTTTTTAAGCCTGGATTGTTCTTCTCAGAGTGAAATTATGTCGCAGCACATTGATGCAGAAAGCCTTTTTGTCAGTAATCCAGACTATCTCTGAACGAGCCGTTTGCTCCTTTGAGTTACTTCTCAAGTATGGATTTTTCCCCCCCTCTGCACAGTCTTAATAAATTGCTTGTAATTATCGTAAAATGCCATTTACAAAGAGTTTTCTCAGACTGCTTGTAACTGAGGCAAATAATTCATCTTTGCTTTGAAGGAGGGGGGAGCTGCTTTATGTTTTTAGGACTCAGCAAGTGCGGCTGTAGGATTGTTTCTTTAAACAACTATTTATTTGTTTTACTGTGGGAGGCAAAGCATAGCAAGTTTACAAAGTAAACCAATTATCTTCTTATAATATGATTGCCAAAGTGTCATTTTGTGCACAGGGGATGCATTCTTTGCGTTCTCTGCTGCAAAGAGAAATAGGAAGCTTTCCCCTGCTCTAAGTGCATTTTTTTTTCAGTCTATACCTTTCATAGTTTGGCTGTTTTGGGGTTTCTGAATACACAAAGCTGTTTTATTGCAGAGGCAGGAGCAGAGGAGACGGTGTCATTGCCCAGGTATTTGTAGGAAGTTTTTGCCAGCTGAGTTGGACACAGGGTTTTGAAAAGGGGGAAGATGTTGCATTAAATTAAGCAATTCACATCTATTTGGTTTGCTGTTCTGGGTATCGTGTTAACTTTGGTACTAATACATTACACAAACATATATTTATATGTATATATATGTATTCCTTGCTCACTAAACCTTCCAGGCAACAAACTGTGAGTGTGTATAAAACCCAGAGCCAACTCTTCTCCCACCACCAACAGAAAGGAGAATTAGGCATGTTGGAAAATGAAATAATCAAAATGATTCCATCATTTTGAAATCATAGGAATGTTTTGGAAGTGCCACTTGACCCTCTTGATGGCACTGAGCTTTCTGGCTCCCAGGATGTGTATTCTAGAGCTCTTGTGGGAAGGTCCCTATGGAGGACCAGGAGGATCTGTGACCTTCATGGCCATCCCAGAGGGACCTCATGGCTGATGCTCCCTTAAAACTGCCCAGTGCTGGGAAAAGTTGTCTGCTGCCCCAGTGAGTGAGGAAATGCTCCATGTCTTTGGCTATATAGGTTTGCCAGAGCAGGATTCATCCCTGAGAACAGTTTGACCCCTTTTTATATGAACATGACTTGGGGAAGATGGAGGGATGAGAGAGGAGTCCAAGCCTGCTCAGTCAGAGTGGGAAATTAGGAAGTTGGGCTTTGAGGAAGGAGGAATCTCCTTAGAGGGCATGTTTGGATTTTTCCAGATTACAGATTATCGTAGATTATCTCTGTTGTAGCACAGCAGGAATGTTTTGGGTGTTTGGGAAGCAGCTGTGCTTAGTGAGAAGTAGTTACAAAGTTTTAAGAGGGACAGAAGAAAAGAATGTACTCAGGTTCTAATTTGCTTTTAGAAAATCTGCCATGACCTCTGGCTAATTGATCACATATCTATTTTTATTTTTTTCCCACTTGTCCCCAGAATAAACCGGAGTTGAGTTCAGTCTGTTTGAAGACGCTGCCAAATCTGTTCATTTGCATTTGGCTCTAAAGTAGGCACACGAGGCTGCAGTAACTCTGCTTCATTTTGAAAAGGGTGGAGGGAGGGGGGGGAGAGAAAAAAAGCAGGGCAAAAAAACTCTTTTTTTTTCTTTTTTTTTTTTTTAAAGACTGAAGAGTCTTTTCTGACAGCTAGTCAGAGTTAGAATTAGTTCAAGGAAATGTTAATAATGCACTGCCTGGCTTAATCCCTTTGATATCACCAGGTATCCTCCTGTTCATGGGTTAATTGCTTTAAAAGCGGAGGCAATATTCTGAGCGGTGGGCCGCTTCACCTTTTCACAGCTGTTACCATTGAGTGACAACTAAATCCCATGTGTAAGATGAGGAAGAGCTCAATCTCCAATTGGGAGAAAATTTATGTAAACCGCAATCCCTTCAGAATGTGCGGAAGTCACAGACTTTCTTGATTTACTCTGCTTTTCCCAGAAAGCTCCATTGTTCCCTTCCCTAAGTCCCATCAACCCTTTGTAGCAGAATATCACAGCGGCGGCAGATAGCTTGAAATATATAAATGCTATCATAGCTCTGATTAATAGCGGCGCTTATGAGTCAAGTCTGATAACGGAGCAGCTCTCCACTCAATTTCAGATACCGCTAATGGAATCTGTCTCCTGCAATT